AACATGGTTCAGAATGGATTAACCGTAATTACATTGAACCTTATGGGAAAATTTGATTCGGATCGTGACCAATTCGGGTCGCGACCGGAGTCACAGAACGAATTAAGTTCGTGAGCCAAGGTACCACTGTATTCTTTCTTCTATAACTTCCCTAAAATTATATGTCATGAGTTTCAAAACAAAAACAAAGGGCCATTTATCATGTTACTAGATATACAATATTTAAAATAATCGAAACATTTTTAATAAAACATTTTTGAAAAGAAAATTCAGGACTCATTGTATTGCGTCCAATATAGCAGAGAGATTCAACTTGCTTGCATTCAGACTCCCTGTTTCAAAATGGGGTCTGCACTAAATGAGGGAAGAATTAATGTAACCAAAGCATTGAAAAAAATGTCTGTTTACAGAATCAGCTTCTTGAAATCCCTTTGAAACTTGGAATTTGTAGTTAAGCTCAAACCTGTTTATCCAGTCATGAACATTATTTCACTTGTCTGCCTTTAGATATCTATAAATAGTTGGGAGCTTCTAAATTTTTCTGAAAATGTTGGGATAATTTTGATCTTGAATTTTAAAAATTGTTTATCCTGGTTACTTTTTTCCATTTTTCTTTCTTTCAAGTGTACGTTAAGAATGTAAAATAAAAATTATATACAATTAATTACAATCTTTAATTGTATGTAATTAACACAATTAACAATCTTTAAACTTAAAGAAAAAATAATATATACCTTATATATATATTATCCTAAATAACCAGGATAATTATGTAGTAGAATTATCCTGATTACTTAGAACTGATTCTTATTTTTTTACAAGCAGCCTGGTGCTGTTTATAAGAGAGAACTCAATCATGCATAGCAGTTCATTCCTTTGTGGCTTAATTTTTTTTTTTTAATGCAAAAGTAACCTTTAATGGAATTGGGCATTAACCACTATTTATTGTTCTAGAATTTCTTGAGGTTGGGAAGAAGCAACCTGCTCTTGATGTTCTCTATGATGTTATGAAAAGTAAAAAACACCGAACATGGCAAAAGATCCACGAACCAATTATGCTAAAATACTTAGAACTCTGCGTGGACCTCCGCAAGAGCCACCTGGCAAAGGAAGGATTATATCAATACAAGAATATATGCCAGCAGGTAGTTTGAAGTTTAATCATACTAATTGTTTTAAGTATCAGCATTTTAATAACAAATGTATATAGATGTTCTGGAACATATATTTCTTGGTATCTTATTACATGTAAGAATTATTTGAAGAATAATTTGTTAGGATTCATCTAGTTAGATACACTTCATATTATATAATTGGATTCCGGTAGTTATAAGTTCCTCTGAAACCTGAACAATAGAACAAGCTTTGATTGTCACATTTATTACTATATGAAAATATATTTTATTCAAATTTGAATTTCCTACATAGATTTTGTCTGCTCCTGATTAAGAAAAACACCTTTAGCTCTTTTGATTTTGATACAGGTGAATATCAAGTCCTTGGAGGATGTAGTTCGAGCTTATTTAAAACTAGCAGAAGAAAAAACTGAAGCTGCTAAAGAAGAATCTCAACAGATGGTCCTAGATATAGAAGATCTGGATAATATTCAGACTCCAGAAAGGTAGAAGTGATGCTTGTTTTTGATTATATTTAATTTTGATCATGTTAAATATATTTATTTTTAAATGATCCAACTAATTTACGGGTATGGAGAGCCTCAAGATCTAGGAATTTATCATCTTTGGTTCTTGACGGAGTTGCACTACCCCAGACAGACCCGGTGAATAATCTGGGGGTCCTCCTAGACTCACGACTCCTGTTCAAAGAGCAGGCTAGGAGGACCTTTGCACAAATTCGTGTTGTGTGTCAGTTACTCCCCTTCCTGGATTGGGAGGCTCTCCGCATGGGCACTCATGCCCTGGTCACCTCCTGGTTGGATTACTGCAATGTGCTTTACATGGGGCTACCCTTGAAGAGTATCTGGAAGCTACAGCTGGCACAAAATGCAGCAGCACGGACAGTTCTGAATGCCCCCAGGGGGGCTCATATAACACCTCTGTTACGTGAGCTGCATTGGTTGA